TAACCTGCCCCCCCCCCCTTCCACTCTAACCCTGTCCTCTTCTCTCCACCCTTACTTTGTCCTTTCTTTCTGTACCCTAACTCTGTCCTCCCTGCTCCTCTCCACTCCTCTCCTTCCACACTTTTCTCTCCTGTTGTGTCTCTTAATTTTATTTGTTTTTGCCAATTTCAGGCCACCCTAAAATGCGTCTCCTAGTGACACATGGAGGAATGAACAGTTTGTTGGAAGCTGTGTACCATGGAGTTCCTGTCCTTGGAATTCCACTTTTTGGGGATCAGTACGAAAACATGGCCAGGGTAAAAGCCAGACAAATGGGGACTTTTATTCCACCTGAGCAGCTTAAGGCTGACAACTTTGCAAGCACTATTCAACACGTCATAGAAAATAAAAGGTAATTGTTGTCAATGGAATATCTGAGGTACCCCAGAATAACAGCACAAGTGGCACCAGACTGACACGGAAGTCTGAAACAGAAAACACAATAGGAACCTAGGAGCTCCCCTCCTCCTGCAACACCAAATCCTGATCGGGGTCCGGGGAAGAGCTCTAAGTAACCACTAACCCCCGGGAACAAGGCAAGGTCCTACTAATAGTTTGTAAGATCTATCTGCTTACCAACCGATCTTGAAACAATCAGTTCTATATCTGTCTGTGATGGCTGGTTGCTGTCACAGTGAACAGTCACGCTGGTTGGATAGGTAAACCTGGTAATTACTCATGCCTGAAGGCTAGTGAATCATAGATACCTTCCGTACTTGATTTCTAGAGACAGTCTCAGGCTTTGGAGTCAGTTTTTTTTTTCAGAAAAGGGATATGATCAAATCTAGCATGTTAGTCCATAAAAATGGTGTGCTACTAAGATCATGATTATATAAAGGGATGCCATGCATTCTTTTCTCAGGGGAGAGCAGGAGGAAGAGGTAACATGTAACATTAACAAGTTTGCTTGATTCGCTGCAATGTACTCAAGAAGCTGTTTGTTAAATGTTTATTTATTCTGTAAAGCTCTGTTGTAAAATCATTTTGGACAAGTGACGGATTTTCTTTTGACTCTGACTGTATGTTATTATGTGTTCACAGCTACAAGATATCAGCAATGAAGCTGCAAACCATTAGGAGGTCACAGCCATTTCCCCCAGACCAGCAATTGGTGAGGTGGGTGGATCACATCATCCAATCAGGTGGAGGCGGTCATCTTCATCCCTATTCTTACAAACAGCCCTGGTATCAGCAATGGCTGCTGGATGTCCTATTATTCATCTTTGTCTCCCTCGCTGTCGTCATCTACATTATAGTGACATTATTCAGAGCTCTCATTAGGAAATTATGTTCTGCAGGAAAGCTAAAGAGGAACTAACAAAACTTGGCATTGTACTGGAAATGAAAATTGATTTCATGTTGTTCACAGCATGGAATTCTCATCTATTTGCAACATTTTGCAGCTGCTCTTCATTATTCTTCAGGGATTGAAGACTCAGATTTATTTTTTTAAAGTGCCTCAAAAATGAAGTTTTACTAAAACGTATTGTAAAGTAGAGAGTGAATACTGATTTATCGGAAGTGTGAATCTCCTGTGCCTCATGCTGTACTCAGTGGTTCCTCCTGCTGACCCCCATTTTATTATGGGGCACATTATTATAGGGGATCCTGTCCTCTTCTACAAAGATGGATCTATATCTTTTGAAGGACCACTATCATTAAAAAATTGGATTCCAATAACTTAAAGTTTACTAATGTAATGATAGCAATCAGTATACTAAATTCTTTTTATTTCACATACCTTTATTTCTAGTTTTCTCTACATATACATTCATGCAGGCCAAGCAGCTCAGTAAAAATGACATTGACAGGGGATGGGACAGACTGTAACGCTGGCATGGGTGCTCTTCTGCATCTTATATACTGTTCGTATAAATGTCATCATCTGCTCTTTATACATTCGTCTAAATGTCATCATCTGACGTTATGTCCATTTAATTGGACATAACGTCACAAGCAAAAGAACCAACGTTTCGGGGCCGCGCAGGGTCCCTTCATCAGGGTGATAATGTGACAATTATCACCCTGATGAAGGGACCCTGTGCGACCCCAAAACGTTGGTTATTTTGTTTGTGATGTTATGTCCGATTAAATGGACGTTTACTATTTGAAAATTATTTATTGAGTGCTGGTGATTCCTGCTTTCTACCATCTGCTCTCCCTCATCAAACTACAAGACAGTAGATGGCTTTTGTTTAATGGACCCTTCTGTGCCGAAAAGGGTTAGTAAGAATAAAAGGGGACCAGTCTTAGAACTGATGGTTGTGCTTTGTCCAAATCTCTGTCACTGATTTTATTTTGTGCATGAGATATATACTGTATATCTACCATTGTACCGCATGTAAGCAGCGTTGGGCTACATGGCATGATTCTGGGAGCAGAGATGGATTAAGAAAGAATAGGGGCCTTAGGCAATGAAGCAGCTTTGGACCCAAATTCCTTCAACTGGCATTGACAGTGATTTTTCAGTAGGCACAAACAAACCATACAATTTCCATTGCCTTAATTAGCATGACTCTATGAAGGCTGTAGCTGGGTTTCTTGGACATCTAGTGGGCCCTGTGTTGCCCTATCCATCAGACTGTGGTTTTTTTTTTTAAGTGTTTTAGTTTCGGCTCACAAAATATTTTAGTTAATTCATTGCCCTCTATATGAATATGAACTGACCCTAGTCAATGGGATTGTGTGTCTATATAACTGTGCCATGGGCACTCATTTTGTGCTGTTAAGCAGTTATATAAGACAAGACACAATGCATAGTCATAGTTAATATCTATATCAATGAAATGTGAGAATTTACATAATGCAGGGCATTATTATTCCTTAAGCCTTGTATTATAGCTGCTTGTATAGATGATTATTATACTGCCATCTTGTGGGCATTTTTTATTGCACCATGTTTTTCTGAATTCCCTCCCCTTGTATGTAATTTACCGCCCTTCTTCTCCAACTAGTGGTTTAGTGTTATGGCTGCCTATAGCAGGACCGCATGTACTATACATGCTAGCCTGGAAACATTATCATCCTTGACCTTCAAATACCGCCTGTTCATTCATCTGCTATATCCTGTTGTCTTCTGTAACTAACCTGCTGCATATAATAAAGCACTCCGTGGATGAAAAGGTATTTGGTGAGTTCAGCTATCTGATAAGGATTCTCCGCAGTGATTATATCTGCTTATACAGGCCAGGCATAGTGGTCTCAGCAAGGGATAAATACAACAATCGGAGTCAGAATACATTTGTAAGTCACTTGGCAGGAGCTAATGCGTATTCCCTCTAATGTAGTGCCAAGTGTATTGGCACAATTGTACTTATTTATATTTTGCTTAAGATGGGTAAAATGTTTTCCTAATAGGCAGCCTTATACATCTGTTAGGGAACTTTACAATACATCCTTTGGCACTCCTGATAATGTCACAGTAAGTATACTTTGAGTAAAATCAAGGTAGGTGCTATGTCACACGCACAGAATGGAGCTGCAGGAAACTTACTCCCAGAGCCCTACAGAGAAAATTAGAATTATCTAAAATATTTGCACATATAAGGTCACTTTGGACCTAATTTGTTCATATTAGGTGAGTGTGGAATAAGCACATAACCTGCCTGCCAGGACAATATAGGTCCAGCTATCAAATGCATGCAAAAAAGAGTCATGTAAAAAATCAGCCCCGAGTATGTGATCTGACTGTTTAAGTCCTTCTTTGCACAATCTGGATGTTCATTTGGGATGCATAGTGTCTGGATCTCAGCGATTTGTTTGGCCATACACTTATATGGCCCATAATATGAAGCCATCCAAATTGAGCGGCTCAATCATAAAATTAGGAAATAAAATGTCTGTATTTGTAAATTTGTTACTCGAAATTTAGAATACAATAAACTCCTTTATTGAGTGATGTGTTACTTTGTACTGACAACAAAGTCTAAATCCCATTCGCACTGCCACGGTCTCAAAACCACAAGGTACAGGTGAAACTCAAATAATTAGAATATTGTGCAAAAGTAATTGCAGTAAGTGCTGCAAAAGGGGCCCAAACCAAGTACTGCGTACATATGCATGCTTGTACTTTTCAGAGGTCCGATATTGTTCTATGTACAATCCTTGTTTTATTGATTGCATGTAATATTCTAATTTTCTGAGGTTGTGGATTTGGGGTTCTTGGGGTTTTCATGAGCTGTAAGCCATAATCATCACAATTATGACAAATCACGGCTTGAACTATCTTGCTTTGCATGTAATGAGTCTATCTCATATATTAGTTTCACCTTTTAAGTTGCATTAGTGAAATAAATGAACTTTGCACGATATTCTAATTATTCAAGTTTCACCTGTATATGTGGTGTCCAGGTGACCACACGGATGGTGCCGTGCAAAAAACCAACAGTAAATAAAAGTAATTCACTGGCACACATTTGAAGGTTTTTTTTTAAAGTATTGATATATTTATTCAATACCCAATGTCGCATGCTGTCATACAAATGCTTAGCACCGTATGACAGCATGCGACATTGGGTATTGAATAAATATATCAATACTTTAAAAAAACCCTTCAAGTGTGTGCCAGTGAATTACTTTTATTTACTTTGTACTGCACACATTATTTTCTGGTCAGATTTCTGGCATGTGTTTTGAATTTGATGCTTGCCTTGCTGTCTTTGGCCCCAATGCTATATAAGTTACAGGCCTGAAAAAGAAATGGAACAAGTGAAGCCAGATCTCATGATCTACATACATGTTTCAGGTTAGTAAATCAGAAACCACTGAACCCAGAGTGTCTACATGACAGCCAAGCTAACATTTTCAGGAGGTCAGCAGTGGCAGCCTCCACATACTGTATCTCTAATCACACTTTACCTTTAAGGCTCATCTCTGGGATATTCTACTTTTTTTTCTAAGACTTTTCTTTGCCCACCACAACACAAACGAATATAAAGTCCAAAACCTTACTAATTTTGGCAGGAATCGCTCCAATGAAATTCTATGATATCATCATTTTGCACTGGAGCTACGTTTGGCTGCCGGGAGGAGGGATCATTGAGGCTCCCAATGCCACATCCATTGGATCCTCAGTATGTCTCAGTAGACTACATGCCCCATGATGCATTGGGAAATTAGCGATGGCAGTGGGCGAGGTTGGGCAGAGCTGGGGAATGGTGTGGAGAGCTGGGGGAGCTGGATGGAGACAGGTGGCTAGAATCAACTTGATAAGGACACCCACCAAACATTTCACATTGATGCAACCAGCAATGCAGGAAATCTACACCAGGACATTGAGAGGACCGGTCACCATGCTGCACATAGATCAGGCACGGGCTTCTGGTTTCCCAAAGAGGAAGGCTGAATTGTAGACAAACAACTACAGTAAGTACACATATGTGAACTGTTTTACCTGCATGGTACACGCACTTACCAGGTTCTAAGATTTAGGCTCCCCTGCCAGACAGCACAGCCAAGTCAGTGTCCTCACTTTACTGCTTTAAAGCAATAGAGTTCAGTCACACCATGCTACCCAGCTTGCAATTGGACAGTGAGGGAGCAAAAAGCATATTATTGAGGGCACTAGCACCCCAAGATGGCATCGATGAGTATCGACATTTTCTATACTCATCGGAGTCATCTAGGGGTGCTAGTGCCATGTGAATGGCATCCACCAGGCATAAAGTCCTTCCTTATGGTGGGTGCTCCTGCACAGGGGACTACAGGAGGGCAATATAAGGACAAATCTGCATTTTTATACTAGTTCTATGTAAAAAATGAATGTAACATTTTTTAATGAACACTTAATGGAATTAAATGGTGTGGTTTATTTTATATCTTCTTGGGATCCTCTTAAAGTGCAGTAGCCCTTTAGAATAGTAGTAAGCCCATCTGAACTTTCTAGGTAAAGCAGTAAAAAAATTCCAGGGGCTTCAAAACAAAATGTGTACAAAGTCTTACAGTTCTTGCTCTTTAGAAAGCAGCCCAGAGATGGGCCTTTAAACACTACTTTTATGTATAGAGGTTTGTTCATCAGTCCAAAAAGACAGACAACTAAAGGGAAAAGAGATATGGAGGCATGAAGTCCCAAAAGAGGGAATGTTCCTCCCAAAAAGGGAAAGTCCTGAGCTATGCATTTCCGATTCTGTTCAACCACTTTTGTGATTCCCCACCCCTGGCAAACTGCATAGCCAGAAGGATGACTCTTTGGGCCCTTTTACATGGGTGAATGCATGAGTCTTTATGGCTCAGCATGCAATCCATGGACAGATCCCCAGATGAATCGGAAATTAGCGGAAACAGATGTCCACTACATCGCTTTTAGTTAAGTTTTTACTCCATGGAGCTAAATGGACTGATGTTAAGTCTATGGACAGGCAGATATGTGTCAGTCAACTACCTTCGGTCTGTCATGTTTAGGTGAAAAAAAAAGATAAAGGACGCAACCTTTAATGTTTTTTTCAGACCTAGACTGACTTGGAGGTAATTGCATGTACAGGGACACACATCCGCATACACCCGCAGGGCCGTAGCTAGGGCGAGGTGACTGAGGGGGGGGGCGCAGCCAGGGCTCAGCACGGCAGGGAGAAGTGGGGCGGCACAGCCTGCAGCTTCTCTTCTGGGTCACTGCCTCTATGGGCAGAGGCAGTGTAGATCTGAGGAGAAGTGAAGCCGGGGGGGGGATGGGAGGATCGGTAAATATCACTGATATTTACTGATCCTCTGTGTGCAGAACAAACACTGGAGTGATCAGCTGATCGCTGATCACTCCAATGTTTGTAAATAACTGGGGACACATAGTACTATGTATACCCAGTTATGAATGAACAGGAAGTGTTGTACATCACTTCCTGTTCATTCATGACTTTCGCAATAGTTAGAAGCACTCAATAGAGAGAAGTACAGAGGCTTCTACACTTTCATAAACCGTTGATAGTACATTTCTTACTATCACCAGTTCCTGAATAAATGGGAAACCTCTGTACTGAGTGCTCTCCATTCATTTAAAACAGAGGCTGCAGAAAAAGAGTTTGAGGACTCTGTGTCCTCAATTTCTTTTTTTATTTTAAAAGGGAAATCTCAGTGGGCTGTTTAGACCCCTAATATTTCCCAAAGCACCCAAACAGTAAAAAAAATAATAAACAATAAAAAAACACAACGTGGAGGCGAGGCGCATGATGTCACATGACGCCGCACGTGCACGCCGATGGGTGACGGCACACGCCTGTTGGGGGGGTGCACATTTTTTTGTTCTTGCCTCGGGCGCAAATGGATCTAGCTACGGCTCTGGGCCAAACACTAACATTGAGCTTCTGTTCAGTTCAGACAGGTGTATCTGAGAGGAACAGTGTGTGAAAAGGGCCTATTGCAGTTAGAGCATATAGAGGTGTCACCTTCCTGGCCCCTGGACGAAAAAGGGGATTTGCTAGCTCTCCCTTCCTTTAAACAAGTACACAATGTTAATCAGCTCTGTGAAATGCAACAGAGTCCTATTGGCCCAGATTGCTGACCCTTCTTCTCCATGTCTAATATAAGGACACATCCAAATCACTTATACTGGCTGTATTAAACCACAGAAATATATATGGGCCATGGCCTTTGCCCAAACTATTAGATATTTGCCTAATTTGTACAGTTTCCTAGTGTAGAATTTTTCTCAAGCACAGGACCGGTTTATCAGGAATAGTGCGAAGTTTCCACAGAGGAACTGCATTTGGCCTAGGGCAGGGGTCAGCAACCTGCGGCTCCGGAGCTGCATGTGCCTCTTTCATCCCTGTTCTGCGGCTCCCTGTCCAGGGGTGGAACCCCCCGGCTGCGTGGGGGCCCAGTGAGGTCCGGTCCTGGGCACCCCCCCTGGTGGAATATGCGGCAGTGCAGGGTACCGGGGCCACAAACTGCCGGTGGGGTTCTCAGTGAGAGGACTGGTCCTGTGACACACCTCCTCTCTCCCAGCCGCGTCCCTAGTAACAAGCGACGGGAGACAAGTGTGTGTCACACGATGCCCCCCCACCCCCCGCAGTGCACAGCGTCTGGCTGGGATCCTGGCTGTGAGGCTTGGCAGGTGAGTCCGAATGGGATGCGGTGGAGGGGGAGGTACGTAACTGTGTGCTGTTATTTCATTTAATTAGAAAAGTGGATTATAATGGGGAACATTACACTGTAATGTTGCTTGTTATAATGTTGCCTAATATAATCTATTTCTCTGATTAAATGATTAGACAGGGCTGCTGTTCTATCAATGTTTGTGACTGGGTTGGAATGTGGCCAGATGACCCCGCTCGGAGCGCCGCACACCGCAGCAGCAGCGACGCTCGGCGAGGTAAGTAAGAAGAAGAAAAAACCCCCCGCAGCGGCCAGTCAGGCAGGGGAGCAGGGATGAGTCAGCGGCGCGCTGATCAGGCGAGAGGAGCTCCAGGTGGGGTTGTAATTTAGCGGGCAGGCACCTCTGAGCCAGCTAAATTAGGACCCCACCTGGAGCTCCTCTCGTCTGATCAGCGCGCCGCTGACTCGTCCCTGCTCTCTCCGTGATGATCCGATCACCGGCACACAGTGAGTGAGGGGAGGGGAGGGGAGGGGGTAGAGAGAGAGATTAATTAAGCAATTATATATGTATTGTCTGCACTGTATTAGCAGTATATACTCTATATAGAGTATATACTGCTAATACAGTGCAGACAATACATTTACAATTATACTAACATGAATGTATTAAATGATCTGTATGTAGCCCTGTACTATGGATCATTTAACCCATTCATGTTAGCAGAGGATCATTGTAAATGTATTGTTGCAGGCACTCTATATGTACATGTACTATATACTACATATAGAGTGCACTGAACAATAGATTTACAATTATCCTCTGCTAATATGAATGGGTTAAATGATCCGTAGTACATGATATGTAGCCCTGTACCCCCTTTTCCACTTACAGAGCTAGGTTATTTTTCTTTTAAATAAATATTAATGTAATTTTATTGGTATCTATCTACCAGTAGCTGCCTCATTTCCCACCCTCGGCTTATATTCGGGTCAATACTTTTTCCCAGTTTTTTTTGCTAAAATTAGGTACCTCGGCTTATATTCGGGACGGCTTATACTCGAGTATATATGGTAGTTTTCTGAGGTTTTTCAGTTGTCAGAGTAGATAATTTGGTTTATCCACCAAGACAGCTAGTTATCCTCTACTAATAGTTGTAAACGTGCTAGCAGTGGTGCAGGACCGGATAGTCACCCTGTGCTTGTCCTTCATTGTTACTCCTATATCAGCAGAGACAAGACAAACAATGGTTGCAACCAGAAAAGTGTATATCATTCTCTTCTTTTTTCTGCAAAGTCTACAAGGAGCCAAGATCCTGACAATATGTTTTCTTGCTAAGTAATATTGAACTGCCTGTATTTCATTATACCCAGTGTGTAGAGATCATTTCCTCCAACAATTCATCAGTCGTGTGTCACTGGAGCCAATGTCAGCTTAGTGTGTGAATTCTCATACAACACATTTCTTATGCATTGCACAAGAACAACTTTCTTCTATGACTGTTGCTGGATGGTGTATTTGTTTAATATATAGTAATGCAATCTGCTATATTGTATCATATAATACCATTTTACATGGACATCATTATTGCTATAGAAAACCTGCCCTGAAACAAAAACAGTTTTCCCCTATGTTTCCTGTCTAAATGCACTATCTTTCAGCATTGGCTGCACATCATTCCTCTTGACCAGCTGCCTGACAAGATGGGGCCATACCTATACAATGTGTGTTGGAATGGCTTCCTGTAGCCTCTCTATACTGTATAGTATTATATATCTGCACATCTGTTTTCATCCTAGGTGGAAGTCATTACTTGTTGATGGATGAAATCTCCCGTATTCTACACCATAATGGGCATGAAGTGTGAATGTTCCTCCAGTTTGGGGAAGGGATGCTTCCAGGTCTGTAGTATAAGCTTTTTTTTTTTTACGTATACATTTCCTGGCCAAAAAAAAGTCACACTAATATTTTTTAAGCCGCATTTAGCTTTGGTTGCGGCACGCATTCACTGTGGCATTGTTTCAATAAGATTATACAATGTTGCAGCATTTATTTACATCCACAGTTGCATTAATTTTTTTCACCAAGATCTTGTAGTGATATGGGAGAGTAGGGCCATTGTGTAAAGTCTTCTCCAGCACATCCCAAAGATTCTCAATGGGGTTAATGTCTGGACTCTGTGGTGGCCAATCCATGTGTGACAATCATGTCTCATGCTCCCTGAACCACTCTTTCACAATTTGAGCCCGATGAATCCTGGCATTGTCATCTTGGAATATGCCCAATGTGCCATCAGGGAAGAGAAAATCCATTGATGGAAAAACCTGATCATTCAGTATATTCAGGTAGGCAGCTGACCTCATTGTTTGGGGACATATTGTTGCTGAACCTAGCCATGACCAACTGAAGCAACAGATCATAACTGCTTGAAATCCAGTTTGTGACTTTTTTTTGGCCGGACAGTGTTTAATATTCAACATAGGTGAGAATGGGGACTTTACAAAAAATAGTCCTTTTGTAGAATTTACCAAAGTTTTCTGAGCTTGTTGCAGTTCCTTGTACCAGTACTTTGTGACCTGGGCTGTCTTTAGTTCATACACCCATGGTCAGTTGGATGGGATCAGGCATAAGGGCCATTGTACAAAGCCTTCTGAGTTTGCTTCTACCCAGGAAAATCAATGATCCTAAACCCAGTGTGACTTTTTCAAAGAGGTGAATTTGATTTAATTTTTATTTAAACTGGGGAGGAGGATGTGAGAGAGCGGGTTGATGGCAGACTGGAGATAAGGAGATGTTGGGAATTCCTTTCGCCATGCTTGTATACAGTCAGATTTCACATAAAGGAGAACAGGAAATTGCTGTGGGAATTTTCTGTGGAGTTTGGAGTTGGGATTTTCTAGGGATTTTTTCTAGGAATATTAGGAAGTATGTAATGGTACAAATATATCATTGCATGTAAATGTTTTTAGGTTTAAAGTTGCCTTCCAGTCCTTATCAAGTGACTATGTTTCCCCTGGACCAAAAATACATGACAGAACACGAGGAGTTTTTTTAAAGAATATCAGGGAGACTTTTTTTATGGGCAAGTATGTGTGCAAGAGTTTTATTCTATAGTTTTGTTTCATTTCTGATTTGTGTCCTAATTTTAAAAATAACATTTTTATTTGCACCAGATAACTCCAGTAGCTTTAGACCAAGGCTTTGTTCAGATCTGTGCGATCCAAGAACACATGCGTTCCTGCACACATTCCTGCATCCCACGGGGTCACATATCGCACTGTTAGGTGCACTACAGTGCCATTATTTCTTAATTCTTAATTGCATGTGTGATGTTGCATCACTCAAGTGGGAACAGGGTGTAATAGACCTGAGTAAAGTAAAAACTACTGCCCCCATCTCTATTGTGCATGGTGGAGCTTCTGATGACCCCTGTTTTCCTTTAACTTGTAGGGTGTATTTTATTGGAAAGCCGCCACAAAAACCTGGAGAGCATGGTATGGAGTGTATGGTTTGTGGTCCCTTACTATATAGCCTTAGTACCATGCTCATATGCTCAATTAAAGATTATGATGCACACTGTTTTCTTAAACTCTCCTCTCCTAAGATCTCCTCTTTGAGCCTACCTTTCATAACACCAAAATTTGATGCCCGAACACACTGATTCAACAGGGAATCTATCAGCTACATTTTCTAGTTTAGGCAAAGTGTTATAAAATGGATTTAATTGGGTTTTTATGTTGCTGATCTACACAGAATAATCCATCGAACTGAAAAAAAAATCTAAATAGTCTTACAAGTTATAAAAAGAAAAAAAAAACAATTTCTTAATTGCATATTCACCCCATTTGCTTTCAAAGTTCTAAATAGACTTTGGCATATCCACTTTCCTTCAGAAATCAGGGAAAGCTAAACTTTGGGGAATACCATCCTTTACTCTCGAAGTGGGACCATCTCCTCACTGCAAGGGTTATCCCTGCAAGTTTTATCATCCAAGCTAAACCACTCAGATCAGGAGGGGATCTGTGCATAGATCCCCTCCTGATCGGACAGTGTAAAAGTGGCCTTATTCTTGGATAATTTTTTATATATAGTATAACTCTAATGAGTTATAAAGGCTTTTAATGCATCATCTATGTACAATTTTTGGAATGTAACTTCACCATTTCATGAGGGCATGCAATTACAAGGCTTGGCGTATTTGGCATTTATGTTCTTTACACCGTTTCAGCTTTTATATTTTTCAAAAATGTTTAAATATATTGTGTTTGTGTACACTAAGGGTTCTTTTCACAAACAATTCGCCCTGTGAAAATCTGTGAATGTTTGTTTTTGGCAAATAATCCCAATATTTTTCCCACTTTGTAGTATTGTAGTAATACATTCTGGCCACTAGATGGTGTTCCAAGTTTGAATGTAGTGTGTTGTTGTAATAATACATTATAGCCCCTAGATGGAGCTGTGAAGCAGCTCCATCAGAAGTGTCTAGTGCACAGTGTGGACTCCATTTTTTAACCAAGAACACAATTGACAGCCACCTAAAAGCAGGGATTGTCTCCAGAAACCAAAGACGTCAGGTCATCCTAGGCAAATGTGCTTTTACCAACTATGGGGAAAAATTTGACAAGAAAAAAAATCTGTTGCATAACTAATTTTTGCGTCACAATAACACAAATATTTAGCACCTTTGAAATGTAATGTCTATTGTATAAATCAACTGCTAAAAATGTCAGTTTAATCTATTTTTATATCAGGTTGTAACACTGCAAAATGTGGTCTCAGAGGGGTGAATTCTTTAAAGGAGAACTATGAGGTGAGTGATTTCCACTCATCCCCATAGTTCGAGCCAATGTGTGACAATTACACTTTCACACATTGGCTCTATAGATCGGGAAGTGAGTGAACACATGCCGTCGCTCGCTCACATTCCAATCATCTCCCTGCAGAGAGTGGGGACTGTCAGTCACCGCTCCCAGCAGGGATTCCCTTCCTCCCCTCTCCGATCCTCCAGCGCTGGCTGGAGGAACTGACGGTGGAGAGAGCGTGCACAGCTGGCTCTGCCTCTAGATAGGCAGAGCCAGCTGTCACTCACGCAGCTGGGTGGATCTTGACAGTATTGTTGGGATCCATCCCGGCTGCGGTGCTCTCAGTATATAGCGGGCAATAGCCCGCTATATACTGAGCTTTGGGTCACAGGAGGACATTAGTATTAGTATGTCCTCCCATGACCCTAAAGAGAACTATGGGATAAAAAGGTTACCCCATAGTTCTCTTTTAAAGCATATCTAAATCCCAAAACAAAATGTATTATATATCAGCTTGTCAGTCCATAAATGTGGGTTTTTTTTTCTATTTATAATGACCTGCTAATCCTGCAAATAACATACTTCCTGTCCCATCGTGGCTACGTTCACTCATTCACTGTATGTGCGGAAGGAGCTATGGATGATGCACAGGCTAGATTTGACTAGACACGTCTGCCTTTATTCATCTCTATTACATGGAGGATTGATGAGAATATTAGTTTACGAAAAAAAAATAAAAAAATGTGTGTGCTGTTTGCTATAATGATTGTTATTTCTAGTCAGGTGACTCTTATTTTCAGCTCTTATTGGTTCTCATTATTGAAAATATTACATTTTACAGGAAATAAAGATTGTTACATAGTAGCAAATCCAGTTTTTTGTTTTTACCATGATTAGCATATACTTTGTTACCATCTGAGAATGTTTTTCCTGTAGGTGTGAAGTACAGCCATTAGTTGATGGGCCTTCTCTCGAACCTGTGCAAGGTCACACTAAACCAGTTCCAAATCTTAAACTCATTGAGAGAGGAGAGGTATGACATTGCTATAGTTGATGCCCATAACCCATGTACGTTTTTGGTGTCAGAGCTTCTTGGAGTTCAATACATTGCCTTCTTTCCAATGATCTTTGCTAATTCACCATCAAACGTGATGCCAATGGCCCTTTCCTACATAAGGACCTAACTATCTGTAGCAGTTATAGGCCGATATCATTACTTAACACCGACATCAAAATATATGCTAAAGTCTTGGCCAATAGACTTAGTGGCCTGATGCCCCACTTAATAACATCAGATCAAACAGGTTTCATCCAGGGCAGGGAGGCAAGAGACAGCACCCAGAGAGCAATTAGCTTAATTCACCATGCATCCACCTCTTCGAATCATACTCTGTTTTTGTCCACGGCCCCTGAAAAAGCGTTCGACAGAGTTGACTGGCATTATCTTAGAGCTACTCTACAAGTAGTAGGGATGGGACCTAGAATTCTGGCAGGCATAATGGCCCTATATAATAACCCCATGGCCCAAATCAAGGTAAATGGTCACCTCTCAAAAAATTTTACGCTGTATAGTGGCACACGTTAAGGATGCCCGCTATCCCCATTATTATGTGCTTTAACATTAGAACCTTGTCTTATTTCTATAAGACGTAATAGTAATATCTCAGGCATTACAGTGGGTACCATAGAACATAAACTTGCTGCTTACGCGGATGACATTCTTTTTTTTATTCAACAACCCCAGATTTCGTTGCCATTACTATTGCAAGAATTTGAATCCTTTAGTCAAATATCGAATTTTAAAATTAACCTGTCAAAATCTGAAATTTTAAATATTTCCACGCCAAATGATATTGTGACCGCCCTGAAGGAAACTTTGCCCTTTGGTTGGCGGAACTATAAAATCCAATACTTAGGTATATTTCTCACCTGTAGAAGTGCAGAGTTATTTACAGCTAACTACATGACCCTATTAAATAACATCAAGAAAGATCTAAATACATGGCTCAACCAACGTCCATACATCTCTCTTATGGGGCGGATAAATGTTATTAAGATGACTATTCTACCATGGATATTATATATACTTCAAACGGTACCTATCACTTTACCCACTTATTTTTTACGCACCCTCAAGTAGTGCCTACATTCCAGTCAATGCTCATCGACCGCATGACTTTTCTGGAGAGGTTGAAGAACACATACAGTATATGTATTTTGAGTCCCTTTGGGTAGAGATGAAGATTGAAGAAATATTTCATGACACCATTAAAGACTGTTTTCCAGAAGACTTTAGGCCATCTTTATCCGACCTCTACCAGAAAGCTGAAATCTGGATATATAACCTAGATTTCACCATTGAGCTTCCTCGGCCACTTCTACCTAAAGTACAGTATATTGGAGGCTTACTGGCAAGATCTGCAAAGCCTTTGTCTGAGGTGAGTATTTTATCTCAGTGGTGGCCTGTGTTTTTCCCTAAAAATATCCATGCTCCTTCTATCTAACATGTTAGTCCTCTGTTTGCTCTCTAATATTAAGTAACACTCTAATTTTTATCATTTCCTTCTCTTTTTTGGGAAGTAAGTATATACAGTATGTGGCCTGTAACTATTTTAAAGAAAGCTCCAGTTATTCCAGAATGTTTATAGAGTAGGCTTGTTATTTGTTTGACAGTTTCACCTGTAGGGTATACCAGTGACGTGCGGTACCTCTTGCTCGGGGTGAGGCATACGAAGCCCCACCCCCAACCCATCCCCAAGCTAATGTAAAGGAGGAAGGGAGGAGACAAGGAGGAGCCTCCCTGTGCCTCACTTGCTCCACACCGCTGAGGCTCCGTGACAGGTTACACAGCGGGGAGGATTTCCCTGCTGTGTAACCGGTTAGATGCCGATTTGAATGGAGAAAAAGCTGTCAGCTTCAGACATGAAGCTGACAGCTTTTTCCTCCATAATTCTAGGTGAGGCTCTGCCTCACCTGCCTCCCCTGACCGCACGTCCCTGGGGTATACACGGGTAGATTTTTGCATGACCGTTCATATGAAAAATCCAGTCGAAATGTTTAATACAGGCATCAGAAACTTGCCAACTGTCGTTTTAAATTTCTTTTAATTTTCCTTTTGATTTTACATTCTGTTTTGGAATGAATGGAGTTTATGTTGGAAATGCAACAGCCTATACTAATGCTAGTTAGTACATATACGAATACTATAATATGTCTTTTGAGCTGTAGATGGCACTGTAGTGCAATACTAGTCTCTATGTGCACTGAAAACACGAAGCACACAGCTCACCCCTATCATGCGTCCCCGCAATCCACATTCGGTGCACGGATGACTCTCTTCCTGAGTACCGTATATACTCGAGTATAAGCCGTCCCGAATATAAGCCGAGGGTGGGAAATGAGGCAGCTACTGGTAGATAGATACCAATAAAATTACATTAATATTTATTTAAAAGAAAAATAACCTAGCTCTGTAAGTGGAAAAGGGGGTACAGGGCTACATACAGATCATTTAATACATTCATGTTAGTATAATTGTAAATGTATTGTCTGCACTGTATTAGCAGTATATACTCTATATAGAGTATATACTGCTAATACAGTGCAGACAATACATTTACAATGATCCTCTGCTAACATGAATGGGTTAAATGATCCGTAGTACATGATATGTAGCCCTGTACTATGGATCATTTAACCCATTCATGTTAGCAGAGGATCATTGTAAATGTATTGTCTGCACTGTATTAGCAGTATATACTCTATATAGAGTATATACTGCTAATACAGTGCAGACAATACATTTACAATGATCCTCTGCTAACATGAATGGGTTAAATGATCCGTAGTACATGATATGTAGCCCTGTACTATGGATCATTTAACCCATTCATGTTAGCAGAGGATCATTGTAAATGTATTGTCTGCACTGTATTAGCAGTATATACTCTATATAGAGTATATACTGCTAATACAGTGCAGACAATACATTTACAATGATCCTCTGCTAACATGAATGGGTTAAATGATCCGTAGTACATGATATGTAGCCCTGTACTATGGATCATTTAACCCATTCATGTTAGCAGAGGATCATTGTAAATGTATTGTCTGCACTGTATTAGCAGTATATACTCTATATAGAGTATATACTGCTAATACAGTGCAGACAATACATTTACAATGATCCTCTGCTAACATGAATGGGTTAAATGATCCGTAGTACATGATATGTAGCCCTGTACCCCCTTTTCCACTTACAGAGCTAGGTTATTTTTCTTTTAAATAAATATTAATGTAATTTTATTGGTATCTATCTACCAGTAGCTGCCTCATTTCCCACCCTCGGCTTATATTCGGGACGGCTTATACTCGAGTATATACGGTAATAGGCTCAAAAACTGTGGAACCAGCACACAATGATCTTCCAAAGAAATTCAAACTTTATTCTACATGCATCTATACAAAGCACAACTGCTGACACATTTCTGCCTTACTCAGCCTTAGTCAGAGTAAGGCAGAAACGCTTCAGTTGTGCTTTGTATAGTCTCTATATGCATGCTTATCTATGATACAAAGCAAGTTCATTTTCTCTCACTTATGTTTTCTCCACAATTCCATATTCGTACATGTAATGTTCTGCTAAGCTAGTAAAACTTAATTCAGCATTCCTCGAGATCTCAGTGCTTCATCTAAACACATAGCCAACAGTTTACGAATGGAAACCACCTTCACTGTTAGAAATTTGTTCAGTTCAGAAAAATTATCCAACATGATCTTTAGAATTTTTTTATCACTGTGGTTAAAATCGATCATCAGTGTGAGCCTATCAACAGTTAGAAAGTCGAATGAACATTCTGAAATCGATTTTGTTTGTTCCCAATTCTAACCGTGTATAACATACCTTACAAATGTTACTGAAGGTCAAGGGAAAAGGGAACATTCAACCCCAAACTGTGCCTGATCACTCTGTAGCCTGCATAGAAAAAAGGAAAGGTTACCAAGGTAGAGAAGACCAGCCAACATGTTTCTTAAAATGTGTTTCCACTTTTGCAGTAAAAATTGGGAAAATCCCTCTATATGTTAGTTATATGTTCCCATCCACACAGCACAATGAAAAATTGTTGGTGACAATAAGGATCCATTTATCAGTGATTTTGTTTTATGCCTTTACAATCCTTACTTCTTGAAAACCTCCTGCATGGGGTATTCTTGGTAAATTGGTCAAATGTTAACACTAAGAATTTCAGGAATGCAGTTTTTGAAAAGTGACTTAATCCTCTTACACAACCTAATCTCCTTAGTGCATGTGAACTTGTACTCCATTTGTTTTTCCAAACAAACTTTATTCAGTTTTTCGGCTACCCCCCCCCCATGGGTTATAACCGTTTTATCACATGAAATACAGTTTTTACATCTTGGGGTCGCTCACCGCCACCCCCATATGTGTATCTAAACTTTTCCGCTTCTAACATTCGCATGCTGGTTGTCACATTTTCGTTGCTTGTCAAAATCTATACTCTAAGCACTTAATGCTCCTCCTAAGGGTGTCAAGCGTAATTCTTAAAACATATTATGAGTTATATCTTTACATCATCACTGTATATCAAGGTATTTCCAGGACCCCCAGGCTATTTGACAGTTTGGCCTTGAGGTACCATTCAGAATGTACTCCATTTTAAACTCCTAGCCCCAGTAATAAACTGAAACTAAATCAGAGAGGGGCACAAAGAGCTTTTCTATCTAATAAGGATCATAACAAGCATATTGTGGTGTCTGCTCTTTGGCGGGCCTTTTGCTTTTAATAGCGTAAAATGGAGCACAAGTGTACTTTAATTGGGTTATTCACAAAAGGGTGAAGAGCTTGGAGAAGGCAGGAGAAGTGAACAATCTAGGCCGAAATAGCTGAACTGGAAAAATTCTCCAATTCAGGACTGGAAAGTGAGCTGAATTGGAGAATTTTTCCAGTTCAGCTATTTTGGCCTAGATTGTTCACTTCTCCTGCCTTCTCCAAACTCTTCACCCTTTAGTGAATAACCATGTCAGTCATGGCTTAACGCTGAGGTTTAAACTGCTTGTGTCTTGCCTTATTATTATTCTTATTATTATACAGGATTTATATAGCGCCAACAGTTTGCGCAGCGCTTTACAATATGAGGAGGACATTACAATCACAATACAATTCAAGACAAGATGGTAAGGAGGGCCATCCCTGGTCACTTCTTGTGCCCCCCTCCCATCAACATGCTAATTAAATGAATAAATGAAACCTTTGTGTTCTGATTGTATACCTTATTTACATCCATTGAAATCATCACTGTGTCTCTTTGCTTCACTATGCAATGCAAGCAGATCATGGCTGGTGGGAGGGGCCAACCTGAAAACAGGAAGCTGTGGCAATGCCCATATGTGATGTTGAGTCTCCGTGATCGAAAGAACTGAAATCCAATTAATGAAAGTGGTCGTCCAGGGAGAGTAAGGCTTGGGGAGGGGAGGGCCAGATGATTGTGGGAACAATAAAAAAATTAGCTCAGAGCAGGGCTCTAATCCTCTTTAAAATAGCTGAGTAACATTGCCCTTCCTATCATCAAACATTAGAACATAACAATATAATAAACCCTCCTTTATTTTCATAGCTCATATATGAACTTTATTTAATTTTTTTAAAGGGCACCCTAAAGCTCGTCTACTGGTGACACATGGAGGACAGAACAGTCTGATGGAGGCAGTCTATCACAGAGTTCCTGTTGTAGGAATACTACTGTTCGGAGATCATTTTGATAATTTGGTCCGAATTAAAGCAAAAAATATGGGGACATTTATTCCACCTCAAAGAATAAGATCAGAAAGTTTTGCAAACACCATGCGTCATATAATAGAAGATAAAAGGTAAGCTGTATATAGCAATAATATGGAAAAATCTACTTTTTAGGATGTCTGGAATCATGCCTCACTGTATACAGTTTTCTTAAAGTACAACTGAAGCCAAAACTTTTTAAAATTTTGGATGAAGTGGAGAGGGATTTTTCTGTCTGTGTCCCCGTTAGGGAGATTCATCCTGCCTATTTGTCCTGTTTACTGATGATCACTGAAAGGAAAACAAAATCCTAAATTTTGGGTTGTCACCAGGACAGGAATAGAGGGGAAATCTTCCAATGGGGACACTAATTCTGGTCACCCGGCTGACCACCAGGGATTTCCTCTCACTTCATGTTGTGGTTATTGAACAGGAAATGAAGGGAAATTTCCCAAATGGAACATAGATGGTAAAAATAGCTGACCAGGGGCGTCCCGAGGCTGGGTGTCATCCGTAGCGGAGACCGGGTGACACCCCGCCGTGACGTCGTCGCGCGTGACGTTGCCGAGCACGCGCGCGATGACATTCATGCGCGGTCGTCTTATTGATGCCTGCCGGTGGCCATCTTGGTGATGGACGCCGGCAGAGAGAGGAGGGGACGTTCACTTGGCGGGATGAGGTACTCTGCCGGGTGCTCTCTCCTGACACTGTCGGTGACCGAGTGCACGACTTTTAATAGGGGGTGACACCAAAATGAATGTCAGTCATTTTGGTGTCAACCCTCCAATGGTGGCACCCAGGTGCGGGCCACACCCCCTGCACCCCCCTTGTGACGCCACTGACCCTGACTTTATCCAAAAAAAATTGATTTGATGAATCTGTTGTTTCTTACGTGGAGATCCTGCCAGTAATAGCACTTCCTGCTGCAGTCTGACAACACTATGCCACTATCACACAAATTGTAGACGCGCTGACAGCTTGCCATGCAAGTACCTTTAGCTGTCTATCAGGTCTACCAGCCCAACAGCCAACTGAAGGTGCACACACGACCCAACCGTGCAATTGATTAGAAACACCTCTACTGCTTATTCATGCAATTATCTCACCAGCCAATCATGTTCAAGGCGCGCATAGCATAAAGTCATGCAGATATACAGTATTTTAGGAGCTTCAGTTAGTGTTCATATCAAACAACAAAATGGTAAAAACTACGATAAAAAAATGATTTTGATTGTGGCATGATTGTTGGTGCCAGATGGACTGGTTTAAGTAATTTTGCAACTTCTTAATGATGTGAACCTTTCCTGGAAAAAGTCAAGGGACGAAACGCGTCGGAAAGGATAGGACACGTACTGAGGTTACACCATAGGTGACTAGCAGGTGGATTTCTGGTTCCGGTTTGCTTAGGTGGAATCGATTGATTGTTTGCTGCAAGGCGATTTCATTCTGGCTATCTTGTAAGTGTGTTTTATTGTTGGAATAAATTCAGTTTTTGTAACGTACTTCACCATTTGGCGCATTTATTCCTCTTCTATATTGGATTTCTCCCCTCGCTGAGTGAGTGGCACCTGCCGTGTAATACGAAAAGGAGGATTTGTTTAATGTGATTAGTTAAGAGTGAATATCCCATCTATGAAAAAAACCACCACAATTACGTTTATTGACCATTGAGTTATATGGTCATGGATCTCTGGTGACTGTGTTCTCAGTTACCTTAAAGGAGAACTATGAGGTGAGTGCTTTTCACTCACCTCATAGTTCTAGCCGACCTGTGACAATAAGACTGTCACAGGACGGCTCAGTAGATCGGGATGTGAGTGAACACATACCGGCGTTCGCTCACTTCTCGATCCTGTCACAGCTCTCTGCCGTGACAGGGGAGGGGCTGTATTCCCCCCTCCCCGCTCCAATCTGCCAGCGCTGACTGGTGGAACGGACGAGGGAGGGGGCGGGTACAGCTGGCTCTGCCTCTAGATAGGCAGAGCCAGCTGTCAGTCACGCAGCTGGGCGGATCCCGGCACAATTGTCGGGATCCGCTTCAGCTGCGGCGTCTCAGTATACCGCGAGCTACAGCTCGCGGTATACTGAGCCTAGGGTGACGGGAGGACGCTAGTTTGTGTCCTCCCGTTATCCTAAGGAGAACTATGGGGAAAAGCCCTAACCCCATAGTTCTCCTTTAACACATCAGGAGTCTGGAGCACTTTATTTCAGAGGATCATTGTCACATTGTGGATTTTGCACAAAAGCACTTTATACGGCTTTACTAAGGATTATTTTTGAATATTTTCATATTGTTTATTATTATGTTTGAAAATGTATGTTTATGAAAATGTACACATTGTTTGGAGGTTTATGCACGTTTATGAGCAGTAGCGCAGTGCACACGATTTATCAGAGGCATACTTACATCACTGAATTTATTAGGAACAGGGACCACTTCACGTGATTACATACCTAAATACAGCTCCAAAAAGCAATGTTTATAATTTTATTTCCAGTATAACACATAAAGTATGACATTTTATCTGTATGTCCGCAGCTACAAAAATGTCAGCAATGAAGCTCAGTGCCATAAAGAAGTTGCGTCCTTTTCCACCAGACCAGCTGTTGTTGAGAAGGGTGGAGCACATCATCCGATCGGGTGGAGGCGGTCATCTTCATCCCTACTCATACAAACAACCCTGGTATCAGCAGTGTCTGCTGGATGTCATTCTGTTCATCGTTGCCTGTCTCACCTTGGCTGTCTACCTCTCTGTGATTTTTTTCAGGACTGTCTTTAGGAAATTATATTCAAGAAAACAAAAACAGAATTAAACCAATGCAGTTGTTTTTGAAATCAGAAATAAACTTTGTATTCATCATGGTTTTTGCCATACGTTATGTGAGTTTTGTTTTGTGGGTTAACTATGCCTTATAGGTTACCTCTCCTGCCGCCCTGTGCTGCTGGACTCTACTCCCTGGCTGAGAAATGGCCCTTTCCAGAAGTGTCCATCTTCGGGGTCTATCCATTCATTACTGGTTTCTTCGTGAGTCAGGTATTAATTGATACAATGTGCCCACAAAAGCCTTATATGTGATTAAAAATCAGTGTAAAAATGATGTAGGCAGGCATATTAGTCATAGAGCTACTGTCAAGTTAACCAAAACATACAGACACTGATACATTTGTCTTGGCCACCTTGGCATCAGTGACCTTTGGTCATTAAAGGGCAAGCCAAAACCTTAGTTCAATCCGTGTGTAAATCCACTGAAAAATTGCTGTATAAAAATGTTCTGTGCAACGATCTCTAACTCTTCCTTATATTAAACTAATGAATGTGCCTATTGCTTGAATGGGTCATTTAGAATGTTGGTGGAAAAGGTCAACTTTGGGCTCAACTTTCTCACCCAACCAGTGCTTCCCCCAAAGGTCGGTAATAGATGAATTTATTTTTTATACGTAAATTTTTCTGAGCTCAGGCCAGTCACATTATGCCGCAGGCTCTTCTTCCTCTTAGGTCTTCACCCAGCAGTGGGCAGTCCTCAGTAATTTATTACATAAGAGCCATTCTGTTTATTATTAGGCCTCATGCACACAGGAACTGCATGTCCTGGGCGTCGCGAGATTCTACACCCCTGCCTCCCCGAGGCTGGGCTTCAGTGGCCTTGTGGCAAATCCGGCCCTGCCTACACCCTAATATAGAGCCCTAATTGGTGCTTAATTGGAGTAAAGTTAATAGACATTTCCCCCTTTTACAACTGTCAAGTTTTTCTTTAAGGTAGTGGGTGGCCAAGTGTCCAATAGAGAGTTGGTGAAGGAGGTAGGCAAAAGTTGAGATTTGCATAGTAGAGTCCCTGGCCTTAAGGTGAGTCTTCCGGAAAAGTAGTTCTCAATCAAGGGTTTGGGTCCTCCTGGGAATACGTGGAGGCATACAAGGTCATATATTAGGGGCTCAGTGATCCGTTCTCCTATCAGTAAATTGGTTCCTGTTCATATGCTACATACAGTATAAAGCCCTTAAAAGACCTTTTGGCCCTTCCCCCCCCTAATTGGTTTCTACATAGACCATTACAGAGCGATAACATTCAACAATAATGGAGTAAAATATGTTGTTTGTTTAGTCCCCTGCTGTTCTGGGGCATGCAACTAATTATAACCTACTAATTAGAATAATGAGAGTAGCTTTCAGTGTCAGAGCAGCAATTATATGCCAAACAGAGAAGATAAAAGCTGGGAAAATGTTCAATTAAAACAAAATACTCTGTCCAGTCTAGAGAAGACAGAATGAGGTGCAATAGTACATGCTTGAGACCGAGAGAACTATTTTCTGAACAGCACGTATATGATGGGCATCCAGAGGATCAGTCATGACTGATTGAGAAAACATCTGAAGTCTTACATTATTGTACCTGTGCAAGCTTATTTATGAAATATCTAAATGTATCCCTAGTTTAGTTATACTTTGTCTAAGTTTGAGTCTGATTTTACGACTTGTGCCTCCTGAAGCATTTAATAATGTATTTTAATTCACATTACGGGCTTGTTTATACATACATTAGTGGGTGGCACCAGACCAAAGCCAGTCACTGCTAGGTCAACAAAAACTATTTTTTTTATGTGACCCTTTCACACCACCATGCAGGGTATACCGCATTATACTAGGGATGCACCAACATATCGGCCGCCGAAACATTTCGGCCGAAAACTGCACTTTTGGCTAAATGCCGAAAGTGCCATTTTGCTGCCGATACATCGGCGCATCCCTGCTTTCTTTTCTCACCGCTGGGCGCTGCTCTGTGTCCCAGCAGGGAGGAGAGAAAGTGTGACAGGCGGCCAAGCGCTGCGGGAGGAGAGCGCTGTGAGCGGCCGGTGTCTCTCCTCCCATACTGCTCAGCCTCCTATCACAGTCCGGCAGAGCGGTGTGTGGGCGGAGACAGCATGTGCTGTCACAGGAGGCTGAGCTCTCCTCCCTGCTCCGCTTGCTCAGCCTCCTGTGACAGCTGTCAGAGAGGAGAGCGAGAGCAAATACTCAGCGAGCAGTGATCGCTGAGTGTTTGTAAATGATTGAGTACAGAGTATGGTTACTATATCCTCAGTTATGAATGAATGGGAAGTGATCTACATCACCTCCTGTTCATTCATGATTGTGGTTATAGTAAACACACTATGTTCTCATGTTATGAATGAACAGGAACACTCATAGAGGATTTCTGTTCATTGATAACAGGGGCTGCAGAAAAAGAGATTGAGGACTTTGTGTCCTCAATCTCTTTTTCTATTTTAAAAGGGAAATATCAGGACCCCCAATATTTCCCCTAAGCACCTAAAAGTGAAGTAAAAAATACAAATATTTAATAAAAAATGAATTAGAAAAAAATATATAAAAAAATTAAAAAGTTTATAAAAAATAAATAAAAATAAAATATTTTAAAAATGTGAAAAAATGAAAATAAAAAACATTTTCAGTTTCGGTTTCGGCCTGACAATTTTTTTTGTTTCGGTTTCGTTTTGGTTTTGACATTTCTATTTTGGTGCACCTCTACATTTTACCATAGCACACCGGTTGCCCTTGGATTTCACCGCACCACAGCACAATGTAGAGCCCGTGATACACTGCAGACAAAGCGAAGAAAATAGAAAAAATTGCAACCTTCACTTCACATTGCACCACTGTAGGTTGTACTGTAGTTCTACCACCTGACGTCAGGCCGTTGTAATTAAATGGCTGGACTGTGGATCTGGATACGGGGGGACGTTTTAAAACATCCTTGTGCCCTGCCCACTCATGCACGCCGCTCCGCGCACGAGGGGGAAACCAACTGTATTTCAAACAGCCGGCATCGCTTGCATGTTGGCTCCAAAAGTGCGCCCCCCTTCCGCCGCCACCAATCCTGGGCTCCGCTGTGCTCCATGCGGGACCAGGACCAGCACGGCAGCTCTGTGACCGGAGATTAAATGTGGAAGTGATATGTATTACATCACTTTCACACTCAGCTGTCATTCTCCGGCTACAGAAGCCGGACAAAAGCTGGTGAAGCAGATCTCTGCTTCATCAGCTTCTTTGGGGGGTCCGTAGAAGACAATAGGGCTCTTAAAGACCCCTGATGTCTCCATAAAAAGGACCTAAAAAAACTCATATAAAAAATAAAAAATGTCCCCTACTTCACTGGATCACGGCTGCAAAGCTCAGACTTCAGCACATTCTCTCCCAGGCAGAGCTCGTACTGAGGTACAGAGTTTCAGTTTGGAGAGATGGGGGGAAGGACGGCTGGACTTCAAACTGCATTAAATCACCTCATACAGCGTCCAGCCGTTCTCGCTCTAGGTAAATGCAGGAATATGCGCAGCTCTACCTAGAGGGAGGGCGGCTGGACGCCGTATGAGGTGATTTCATGCAGTTTGAAGTCCAGCCGTCCTTCCCCCATCTCTCCTAACTGAAACTCTGTACCTCAGTTCAAACTCTGCCTGGGAGAGAATGTGCTGAAGTCTGAGCTTTGCAGCCGTGATTCAAGTGATCACAATTGCAATGCTTTCCAGGCTTGAATGCATATTTATATATATTGTTAATTATACATTTCTTAAATTTTTGCAAAAGGTGAACTTATCCTTTAAGGGCGCATTCACACAGTCGGAGCCACAAAAGCAGGTCAACAGAGTTACGAAGCTTGAAAATATGTAGAGCCTGCTGTACTTTGTTGTACTGGATGGCAGCGCAACGCACTGTTGTGAACTGCTCCCACACCCATTCATTTTTAAGATGTCATTGCGTTGGCATCAACTGAAAAACGGATGCAAATGCATCGGGTGTGAAAGGAGCCTAAATGTTTTACCTTCCTGTAGAATCGGCTGGTCCCCTGAGCACTAGTCCTTTTTTAGGGTGGCTATTTTTCTTTGCAGGGTCCTATGGAGTCACCCTTGTGTGTCCGGATTTACTTTCTCTGCTGCCCCAATGCCAGGTTCCTCAATGCGCCGCCCCTGTATGCAGGATGCATACAAGTGATCTCGGCGACATCGCTGAGATCACTTGCACAAAACAAGCGGCGGTTTCCCCGCTGTACATTTAGCTCTGCTTGCCCAAAGCAGGGCTAAATGTAGAAAACAACTACCTGCCTGGCGCCCAGAACAGCATGTTAGGAATTCTACACGCTGCTGCCCCTCTACTCCTTGTTCCTCCGAGGCCGGGCCTTGCGTTGCCACCTTTTCTTCAACGCGCAACGCGCAGACATTTTATTGTGAGAATGAGTCGCAGCTTATTTATATGTAAACAGCGCCACCCATTCATGTGTAAATATCACAGTTGAGACTATTTTCAGTGGGGGGCCAGTAGACCCTATATTAATTTTGGTTGCCTCTGTCTGCCTGACATCTTGTGTCCGGGTTTCAGCTGCCATGAAACCCGAACACAGCATTCAAAACCCGGACTGTCCGGGTGAATTCTGGACAGATGGCAACCCTAGCCAGGCCTTGGTTGGCCTTATGGGAAATCCGGCCCTGTAAGCTGTGTGTGTTTCCACAAACACACAGACCCAGCAATGCATTCTATTCCCCTCCTCACTGCCCCTGCTCTCCACTCCTCTCGCCTCCCTTCTCTAAGCTAGTAGATGGAGAGCTGCTGGAGACTGCTCTGTCCCTTGTGATCTTGTACTGGACAAGAAGTTCATGGAAGCCGATCTAAAAGAGTTCGAGCTGTTTGGAAATTTGCTGACTGTAAGTGCTAGGGGCAAAAATTTAGAAAAATACTTTGCTGGGCAATGAATATGTGATCTGGATTCATTGCCAAAGTGAGAGTTTGATATTATTGAAGTGCAGCAAAAAGTATTTGCAATCAGATGCAGCAGCTTCCCTGGTGTATTCCCCCCTCTAGTGGTCAAAGGGTTATATACATGAGTCGTAGGAGAAAGCGGCTGGATTGATGGTATTTTGTATCACAAGAAGAAATGCTAAACGTTTCCAATCTCTCAAATCGAATGTTAGTGAACAGAGATATAAAATAAGGACAATAACAACAATCAATATTTCACAAATGTTGTTTGACTCAGCAGGCACCATTTTTTCTGTAATTCCAAATCTTCTCGGGATTTTATTGCTGATCATTTTCTATTGTTAATTTACCAGGTATTTCTTTTTGTGAAAATGCTTTGAATTAACAAAGTCCAACTTCTAAATTTGCTGGACTGGGTCGCTTTAAAGGATCAACTGATATTTCTGTCTGCTACTGCTCGGTGTTACTTATTCCTGACTCATGAACTTTGCGTTACCTACTACTGACCTCTGAACTCTTCAACCCTTTGTTACTTTTTATTGGGGCCTTGCTAGGTTACACCCTGGTGATCTGTGATCTCTTCCATCTAGGGTTGCCGCCTTATCTTCAAGTGAAATCCGAACACTCTAGCGGCGCACACGGCGATTTTTTGTTTTGTTTTTAGGATATAGAAGAGAGAGCGAGGAGAGGCAGCCAGGGGAGGGAGTAAGGAGACCAGCTACAGAGGACTACAAATCCCAGCAATACATTATACAGCAAGACAAAATAATATGAAGCTACATACTCTGTGCTGTTCTGGGGTGGAGCCCTGATGTCTCCAGGTGGCCTGGTGGCCTGTGCCGGCTCTCAGGTGGACTTGCGACACTCAGGTGTACTTTTTGACTGTCAGGTTGGCTGTGTGACACTCAGGTGGGCTGTGCGACTTTCGGGTGAGCTGTGCGACACTGAGGTGGGCTGTTTGACTGTCAGGTTGGCTGTGCGACACTGCAGTGGGCTGTGCAACACTCAGGTGGGCTGTGCGACACTCACGTGTGCTGCACGACACTCAGGTGGGCTGTGAGACACTCAAGTAGGCTGAGCGACACTCAGGTAGGCTGTGCGGTACTCGGGTGGGCTGTGCGACACTCGGGTGGGCTGTGCGACACTCGGGTGGGCTGTGCGACACTCGGGTGGGCTGTGCGACACTCAGGTGAGCTGTGAAACTATGAGGAGGGCTGTGCGAATCTTAGGGCTGTCTGGATTATGGTGTCTCACTAGGGGTCCGCAGGCAGACAGCATGGTGTCAGGGACCCGGAGGAAGAGAAGGAGGAGAAGGAGCAATCACAGATGTAGCTGCCAAGGTCCTCGGCAAGCCCAATCTCGGGCAGCCGCATCGGCCTGAAACCAAATCTTGCTCTGAGGTGTGGGCACCTTTATACAAGCACAGGCTGCCCGCTGCTGGTGTCGGCACTGAGGCCCCCTTCACACTGAGCGACATTTTTCCTATTGGGCTGCATGCAATCAGGAGCAATATCGCTGGAAATCGCTCGAAAAAAGGGTCATGTAGGAGTGACAAGCTACCAGCGACGAGCTACAATCGATATTGAGCGATATTGAGCGAGGAGATGTGAACAGCTCCATTGAAATGGATTGGAGAAGCTACATAGAGAGATATCGCGTGGAAATATGAGCGATATCGCTGAAAAAATCGCTCGATAAATCGCTCAGGGTGAATGGGGCCTGAGTGTCTTGTGTCCGGGTGCCCGCTGGTTGGACACCCAGACACAAGACTCCAAAACTGGACTGTCCGGGTGAACTGTAGCTCTCCACCTCTCCAGTGTTGCTTACCTCCAAGCTACACCTTATTATTGGCTAGTGTGGCCGCCCATGACAGTGATAGGAGAGTGCAAGAGGTCGACAGAGCTCACCACCATGAAGTAAGTTATTTTTGTCTGTCAGAGCGCCCTCCTTTATGGGATCTTGCATTTACTCTATGGAGAATTAGGCCCAACAAAGGCCGATCCAGAGCAATGATTCTCATTGGCTTACCTCTACATCAGCTATCCCCCCTTTAGTCTACCATGAATGCTATTGCCAGACTCATCCTGCTCTCACAGGCAGGGCCCCCAACCATCTTGTTTTGACCTGTATTATGCTTGTAATGTCTTCCTTATATTGTAAAGCGCTGCGCAAACTATTGGCACTATATAAATCCTGTATAATAATAATAATTCTGTACCAACTGCTCAGTGGCCACTGCCCTCTCTGCCAATCCCTCCACTGGCTTCCAATAGCCCAATGTGTAACATTCAAAATACTAACTACTAAACTTAGTTATCCACAACTCTGCCCCCCGGCTATATCCCCAACCTCATCTCAAAATATCACCCTAACTGTCCTCTCCGCTCCTCCTGATCTTCAGCTCCCTTGTCATCTACTCCCATGCTCACCTCCAGGACTTCTCCAGAGCCTCTCCTAACCTCTGGAACTCCATACCCCATGCTGTCCGGCTGCCTTAGAGCTCACCACACTTTAAAATCTGATTGTACAATCTCCTTCCAAAAATTAAGTAGCGCAAGAGCCTGCTTGATTGGATTCATGTAGGTTGCCTTGATTAGGTAGGTCCTCATATTATAGAGCTTTGGTAAATCTGAAGTTGATTGCACATAGGACCGAGTAGCCCAATTGTAAAACGTATGGTGACCCTTAGACGATCCCTAAAAACTCATCACTTTAGGCCTAACAACTCATCCCTACACAGTTTCCTTTTGTATCACTTGTCCCTCCTTTTAGATTGTAAGCTTCCATGGGCCGGGACCTCCTAACTTGTCTTGAATTGTATTGAAACTGTACCATCTTCTTGTAAAGTGCTGGGCAAGCTGTTGGTGCTATGTACATCCTGTATTCAGGGCCGGATTTCCCACAAGGCCACCGAGGCCCGGCCTTTGGGTGGCGGGGAGATAGGGGTGTAGAATTCCTATTGCGGGTAGTTTTTCTCTACATTGAGCCCTGCTTTGGGCAAGCAAAGTTAAATGCAGAGCGTGGGAAGCTGCCACTCGTTTTGTACAAGTGATCTTAGCCTGCTCGTCCATCCTCCCCTGCCACCCTCCATGGTCCACCCCCACCTCCGGCTGCCTCTCTCTCCGCTGGCCGTTCCTCAGAATGTTCGTTCTCCGCTCTGCTCCGTGTGAACACTGAGATCGGAATACTGCACTCGCAGCCTTCCCATCTCAGCTGTCACAGGAGAGCCAGCACGGTGCTGTGCTCAAACTCCTGTATTAGAAAAGTGACAGGTTCAATAAAGAATCCTCTCTTTCAATAAAAAGAGGGGTTTGTTATCTCTTGTGTGATAGCGATAAAGTTAAGTGAAAAAAATAAAATAAAAATTGATAAAAAGTGAAAGATTTATAAAATAAAAATGTTAAAAAGTAAAAGATATTAAGAAATAATAATCAAAACAAAAAAAGGTGGCATTGAGGTGGCGGCATTGAGCAACCTGGCCTTGCGGCAGCAGAGAGGGTAAATCCGGCCCTGGGTGTATTTTAATAATAATAATAATGATGATTTGCAGCGGATACTGGAGCCAATGCATGTAGACAGAAGTGGCTAAGAAAGTCTGGAGGGGATCAGCAGCACTGAGATGTAAAAAAAGGTGAAAACAGTATTTTATTATTAAAAAAAAAAAATATATGACAATTGTTTATGATACACTTAGTGAATAGGGTGCTAGTGCTTTAGCACATTCACCCAGCTGGATTTCCATTCAGTGATCACAAATGACTTTACAATACAATGCAGCTTTCATGACAGGTCTCCTTGTCAGGAAGAAGAAGGGTGATCCTGTATTGTAGTGACACTGGTAGCAGGGTGGAGACACACAGCCAATCACCGTGCACGGTGTGTAAACAGGGCCACGATCTTCCTCTGTGTGCTTTCTCATCTGAAGCCGTCTCCATAGCAACACAACTATGTGTATCTAAGTTTAAGAACAGACACAGGCGAGGCCAAACTGACCGACATCGACTTCCACCAATCAGCGAGCGCTGATCTGCTGCAGGACCCAATGAGCAGACAGGAAACTTGGAGTAAGGGGAGGTGTTACTCCACCTGTTGAGTGCAAGCTGCGTCCATAGTTTCAGGAGGAAGGCTCCGGCTGCTGTTAGGAGGATCCGAACCCCGAAGGTAGAATTATTGATCCGATTCCTACTCGATGCCGATCACATCAACTTTATTCTTTACTTTTATATCACTTCTGTATACATTGTTATAAGTCTCTCTGTATAATAATAATACCTGATACAATAGTACAGACATGTCAGTGGTGGGTTATTATAGGGACGGTACTGGGTATGCGGAGCATGTTATTGTAACATTGTAAAATATGATTTATATTGGGGAGGAGAGGGGTCACCTGTGTACAATATCCGGAGAGCAGAGTTATCATCTCTATATGAATTATAATACATTCTCCTATATTTAGAGAGTAGTGATGTCACCTATGATATATTTGGAGAGCAATGGTGTCACCTATGATATATTTGGAGAGCAGTGGTGTCACCTATGATATATTTGGAGAGTAGTGGTGTCACCTATGATATATATCGGAGAGCAGGGGTGTCACCTATGATATATATTGGAGAGCAGTGGTGTCACCTATGATATATTTGGAGAGTAGTGGTGTCACCTATGATATATTTAGAGAGTAGTGGTGTCACCTATGATATATTTGGAGAGTAGTTGTGTCACCTATGATATATAATATATTTGGAGAGTATTGATGTCACCAATGATATATTTGGAGAGTAGTAGTGTCACCTATGATATATATTTGGAGAGTAGTGGTGTCACCTATGATATATTTGGAGAGTATTGATGTCACCTATGATATATTTGGAGAGTAGTGGTGTCACCTATGATATATTTGGAGAGTAGTGGTGTCACCTATGATATATTTGGAGAGTAGTGGTGTCACCTATGATATATTTGGAGAGTAGTGGTGTCACCTATGATATATTTGGAGAGTAGTGGTGTCACCTATGATATATTTGGAGAGTAGTGGTGTCACCTATGATATATTTGGAGAGTAGTTGTGTCACCTATGATATATAGTAATATAGCGGTAACCGAGTGTCACCCCGCCGAGACGTCACTGCGCATGACGTCATCGCGCACGCGCGGCAGTATTCTGATAGCTGCCGGCAGCCATCTTGGTGATGGACGCCGGCAGAGAGAGGAGGGGACAGTCACCCGGCGGGATGAGGTATGCCGCCAGGTCCCCTCCTCTCTCCTGATACTGTCGGCGTTCGGTCCATGACCGAGCGCCCGACTTTTCTGAGGGGGGTGACACCAAAATGACTGTGAGTCATTTTGGTGTCACCCCTCCAATGGTGTCACCCGGGTGCGGGCCGCACCCCCCTTGTGACGCCACTGCCTATGATATATTTGGAGAGTATTGATGTCACCAATGATATATTTGGAGAGTAGTAGTGTCACCTATGATATATATTTGGAGAGTAGTGGTGTCACCTATGATATATATTTGGAGAGTAGTGGTGTCACCTATGATATATTTGGAGAGTATTGATGTCACCTATGATATATTTGGAGGGCAGGGATGGGAGTCATGTAAAATACAGGATATATTTGGATGCACACAATGTATTTGTAGAGCAGTGGTGTCACCTTCCCATCACATATCTTATATTTGTACAGGAGGAAGGTTACAACAATATCACATCTGTGCACCGTGCAATGCAAATAAACCATAAAAGTCTCTGTTCTGTCTTTTACTGGAGGCGTTGGTATCTACTTATCTGAATTTTAATAAGTTACATAATGTTTAACCAAACCTATTAATCAATAATAGGGATCTAACGAGGAGGAATTTACATGAAAGAGGCAAATCATCCTAAAATGAGTGTTGAATATTTTATCTTAGGTATTTGGTATAATAAAGTAAATGGAAATCTAATCTAGAAAACATTTAGAAGGGATATTCACTAAGATTCCAAAGGCAGCCGAGTGTTTAACAGAGCCGAAGTGAAAAGAGTTAAAAAAAAAAAATGCATGGGGTTCCCCGCAAAAGTCATACCAGATACCTAAACATTTCCCAACTAGACCCTTAATCTGCGTACT